CCCTACCTCCAGCAGGCCCGGTGGTATGAGGGTGATGAGAGAAAACAGCCGCAGAAACAGCTACAAGGGAAGCAGTATCCTCAGATGCGTTTGATCTGTGTTCAAGGTCATCCATGTTCCACATAACCCAGGTATCTAACAATAATGGAACGATTAAATAAATTATAGTACATCCGACAATGATGTAGCTGTCAAAAAAAAGGTGGGGGGGAGGACAGCCTTTCATGTCTAACATGGAAAGAAAACCATACTGTAATTGTTCAGTTAAAAAAAGCTAGAAAAAAAAAAAAAAAGCTAGAGAACCATACACACAGTACAATCCCATTTTAAAAACACAAATAGAAACGAAACCTGCACATGTATAATATATGCACACCTTTAAAAGCCTGGAAGGAAATAAACAAATCTGAACAAGTGGTTGCCTTTAGGAGTGAGCTGGCAGGAGGGGAGTTCAGGAAAGCAGACCATTTTTATTTACAACCAATTACGGTTTTCAATTTTAAGACTCTAACAATAAAAACAAATAAAAACTGAAAGTAGGTAAGAGATTTATTCTACACGGCTCCAGGAGACAGTATTATGACCAACAGGTGACAAGATTTATCGTTTGACGAAGGAGAAAATAATAGAAAGTGTCTCTGCCCAGAATGGAATTATCACTGAACCAGGATTTTCAGAGAAATGTATTCCAATGTATGGGGTTGGGACATATGACCTAATGCTGGGTGAATATGATATGGGTGGGAATGTACTTTTTTATTATACAATTCAGCCACATGATCAAAAAATTCAATTTCACAAAATGGCATATTATAACAAAAAATTCAGTTTCCTCTCCGTTCTAGTTCCTAGTCCCCTTTCCATTAACAATTCAAATCTCCTTCCAATTTTTCAGGGCATGAATTTCTTACCAAAGAAATGTTTTGTATTACTCAAATATCTCAAGAGCAATTTGGTCCTGTCCCTTTTCCAGTATGTAAATCTGTTATCTGGAAGAATAAAATGACTTCTCAAAATCAAAGTTTACATAACCACCAAAACAAACATTGAGATCAGCCAGATTTCACTCTCCTCCATGATCAATGACATCCTGTTCTCAATCTGCCAAAAACGAAGCTGGACTTACATTCGCTTGGCCACCTCAGAGGAGGAATTTGAACAGCAGCCCTCTTCCAGAACAGTGAGAGCTCCCTCCAACTGAGAGTGAAAAGCAGCAGATGCTCCGTCTTTCACTGGGTTAGGGAAACCACGCTGCGGATACAAGCAAGCATCACCTGGAGAATTAGGTGAGACCAGCACCACCGATCTAGGTCTCTTCTGCCTCAGATCACTTGTTCAGTCCAGTTTCTATCCATTAACCTCCCCTCAGTGAAGTTACTGACCAATCGAGATGGAAAAACCTAATAAACAGAGTGCCCTTAGAAGGCTTCAGAACACAAGTTCTCCTCCTTTGTACGTTCAACTACTAAGAGGCGTTAGTCTTCACCAATTCACTATTTAACTGAACAGTACTTTAAGTGCTTATCCCCAACACAAAGGTGCAGTAGGAAGAAAATGGGTATGAAACAGTTCCCAGCATCACCCTGCTCACCGTTATGGGGGGCGGGGGGTTGAAGAACCACATTATCAGGTTGATCGTGATAGAGTCACAGGACGTGTTCAGGCTGTTTATCTAAGGGACAGAGGCCAAAAACCTGTGCCATTTCTTTACCACAACTACATCTCCTGTGCATCTGGGGCTTTGTGCTGCCTACCCTGACGTGGAAATCCAAACGAGTCCAGCTGACTGTCAACCACTTGCATCAGTGGGGACGAACCACAGAATGGATAATCCAAAGCAGCCTTAATAAAACGTAACCATTGCTTTTCGAATATGTTATTATGCTTTTATCAAAGAACGCTTTTAATTCCTTACCACATGTTGCTTACACTAACCATAAAACTGTTATATACTCTGAGAATGTAGTAAATTCTAAAGAAATGCCTGCTCAAGATTCAAATACTGCTGTGGAAAATCTATACGTGGATGACAGAGACTTAACTGTAATGGTTTTATTATGTTATAAAAACTTAAAAACATATTTCGTCACATAAATCACTCTATCCTCCTCTGGAAATTCATTCTATTGGCAACAGTCTTTACAGAACGTCTGAAACACCCCAGTTTGAGGACTCCATAAACTCTCAGCTTCTTCACCACCCACTTCAAAGGGAGAGAGGGCTGTCACGCAGGTGGCTCTATGGGAGACATCACACAAGAGTGTATCCATGGTCTCTGTCACTTTCCAACACAGCTCAAGTATTCAGAGGGAATAAAAAATCATTCTCATATCGTCATCATCATCACCATCACCACCACAATGAAACACCAAACACTGTGCTGAGCACTTTATACCTATTCCCTCTCTTTAATCCTTATGGGAGTCCTGTGATTTAGAGACTGTTTTAGAGATGATGAAACCGTGGTGCAGAAAGGTTAAGGGCTTGCCAAGGCAACCCCTCCACCACCCTGCTTCTCCTAAATAACCTCCTCCTTTGTCTCATGCATAAAGTAGAGGGACTGACAAGCAAGGATGTGCTTATGGTTTTACTTTAATCCCCCTGGTTCCTTCTCTCCCCAACTTATTTTTGTTTTCGTTGTTGCTTTCCTTCTTGGCATCTTGCCACTTTCCTAGAACATGAAAAAACCAAGAGTTTTATCAGGGCAGCGATGACAAAATTAAATTCATTTTCATCTAAACAGCCTAGAATAGGGATAAGTAGTTGTAAGCGATAACTGAACAAAGACACAAGGAAATTGGCACCATTACCTCACACCAACAGCCCACGTATGTGTTCAACTCTTAATACTCTTTTCTTATGATGAAGCTGTGGAATATTAAAATTAAACTCCTGTTAAGAAATTAATTTTCTTTACATTCCCACTGATTGTTCTTTTTTTAAAATCTAGTTTATTTTTACCAGTTACTGTGTAGTGGTTTAAAAAAAAAAAAAAGACGTATAGACTGTATTTTCTTATCCATTCCTAAAAGGGAGACACTTGCGCCGCCTCAAACTCCTCCTTTATAAATGATGCTGTAAGAAACAGCAGTTTAAAAAGTAAGATTTTAGTAGATAGCCTTTGTTAAGATGGGAAATTTTCCTTTTATTCTGGTTCTCTCAGAGATGGATTGATTGATTGCTTTACTGGGTTTATTTTTTTAATTTTTTTTTTCCCGTTTTACTGATCGTTCTTAGTATCCTTTACTGAAAACGTAAGCAAAACAGAACAAAAATTACTGGCTTATTTTTTTGCGTGTGAATTAATACTGTCCCATTCAAGCAAATGTACAGATGGAAAATAACTGAAGGACTCTTTCAAGTATATTTTATTATAGGTAAAATATTAAAATGTTCATTTTTAACGGCTCATACACAGCTGGCAGTCACAATCCTATCTACAGATAAGGGCAAAAAACAGTGCTCTTGACTCTAGAGGATGTGGGAGAGGGGATAACACAGCAAACAGCATACGGGTGTGGCAGAAACAGCCATCTGTGACACGACCACTTCAGTATCCTATCTGCCTTCCAGTCCCCTTCCTTATCCCCTATTCCAGGGTTTCTCAACCTCGGCATTACAGGACATTTGGCAGCAACCTTGCTGGCGGAAACAGCCCTGCCCTCCCCCCAGCTGTGACACCCAAACACTCCTCCAGACTCTGCCGGATAACCTCCGCCAACACTCTTCTCTCCTTTTCTCTTTGTGCTCTTGGTGCCCCAGGTCGCAACAGCTTTATTTATTAGTTCTACTTCTAGGACACAAGGAATTGCTGACTCCTTCAAGAAGGGAAAAGCGAAAGCTCTCAAACACACATATCCTTTCTTTCTATCTCTTCTCTCCTCAAATTAAAAAAGGGAGAGCAAAAGTTAACCCTCAGAACTACCTGGGTCGTCTGGAGCACCTAGAACAGGTATCACCCGGCACCAAGTGCTGCTGGATATCAAAGACATAGTTCATATTCACAACAGACCTACAGCATACCACACGTCCTACTTCCCGACATGATTTTAAACACATCAAAATGAAAAAATTCACTCATCACTACCATGTGTCAAGCCGACAGTTCTCAATGCTGTTGTACATTAGACTCACCTGTGGTGCTTCTTTAAAAGCTCCCCAACCGAAACCCTGGAATCAGAGCCCCCCCAGGGGCGGGCCCTGGCATTTCTGCGGTGGTTGTCATTCACAGGATTCTGATATGCAAAGTGAGAACCACTGTGCTAACATCAAGATCGTAAAGATACTGTCCACATACCCTCAAGGAACTCAGTCTAAAGAATGAATAAGATAACTGTAATAAAAGCTATTAAAACAGAAGCTGCATTAGACAAGCACGTTTGCATTTTTCCTCAAAGTTACAATCTCAGTGCAAATCCTACATTTATGACCCCTTATCCCAACTTTATCAAGCTCTGTAAGAGACACTATGAACAGAAATATACGTAGAGATGCTCAAAAACTTGCTGAAAGAATCCACTAAGCTGGAGGTGGGCACAGTGCAGGAGCTCTACCAACTACATTAGATTTCTTTCCTAATCCCTTGATTCTGAAAGGCTATCCCAATTACTGAAGAAATACACTCAAAATAAGATGCTATAACATGAATAACGATGGCTTGTTATTTAGCTTTTCATATAATCATAGTCTCCTCTTACCAGTAAGACTGCTTCTGCACAGCAAAAACTGACTTAGATGTTTCTCTCTCCCTCCCCGAAACAAGAGCCCAGCACTGGATGCATGAAACATTTGCTGAATTGATTAATATTGGCTCAACAAAAAGCAGAACTGCTCAGTGAGGATGCACCGATTTTAATGGAGGCTTTCCTGGAATACAGATCAACATCTCAGCCTGCACAGTATGACAAGACAGAACTCTTCAGTGTTTCCATGCAAATAAATGCTATAAATACAGCTTGGATGCCAATCATTTCAAGGGTAATCAAATTAATTTTGCTCACAGTTTAACAGAAGGCCATTTGAAACCAATCAAACGTTCTCTCGTTCTCTCGAGCTTGAAGAAACTGAATAGAAGTCCTGAGCACACAAACATGAACACTGGGAAAATAAAGAGGTTGTTATTAATTATGCAGACTGCAAAGCCAGCAACGGACACAAAGCAAAACAGGAAGCCATAACAGATGGGATGGCAAGCTATGTACAGGCAGCTGTGCTGAGCTGTCACAGGGCTAAAGGTGTAATTCCTAAAGCAACACTCACTGTAGCATTACCACTCCCTTCCACACAAAGCTACCCATAAAATTAGGGACCCTTTTTGATAAAATTAAGACTCGTGTTGCCAGCATTCATCCTCCCTCCCCAACTTTGCTTAATGAGTTTGAAGGATGGCTCTGACCAATGCATACCAGTTCCGGCCCCCTACTCCCAGGCACCGTCCTCTGAAAGGACTTAATGAAAGAAGAGGCGGGGGTAACTGGCCTGTGGCTGAAATTCGTGGTAAGACTGTGGGTGAAATTCAAAAGCCTTTTTTTTTCCCCCAACTCTGAAATATTTGCAGATCACTTAAGAGAGAGGAGATGGTGGGTCAGAAGATGCTGCTGAATCCTCTTCTGTCGAGTGGCCAGGTAAAAACTCAAGGCTGAGGTAAGACTGAGTGTACTTCGGTTAGGTAAGGACCCTACCAATAACCACCTTACGGGCCACACATGAGAAGCCTTTCTTATGCCCATGACCTTAACTATTACCCTTAAGAGACAATCTGGGAAATCAAATGCTAATGCCTAACTTCAAATTTTCTTCACTTTATAAGAGGTTTTACTATGTGGGAGAACTTCTTATTTCAATACCTTATGAACCAGTCTAGCTCAATAAGAAAAACCATGTTCTAAGGCCATCACTGTGTCTCATATGAATAAGAAAACGCCACTACAAATCAAATCTAATACTGCAACTCAGGTGGGAGAGCAAGAGGCCCATTTCGATGTGCTCTATGGAGCACTGGTATCCTTAAAAGTTCACTGATAGGTTGGGAGTCCGCCTGCTGGTGCAGGGGACGCGGGTTCGTGCCCCGGTCCGGGAGGATCCCGCATGCCGCGGAGCGGCTGGGCCCGTGAGCCATGGCCGCTGAGCCTGCGCGTCCGGAGCCTGTGCTCCGCGGCGGGAGAGGCCACGGCAGTGAGAGGCCACGGCAGTGAGAGGCCAGCATACCGCAAAAAAAAAAAAAAGAAAAAGTTCACCCATCATGCCAGCTGGTTGAGAACCTGCATAGAACTGAGAGCCCCTAAAGCGCTGGGAACACCTCACATTCCAATGAGGAGACTCCTAGCCCAATGTCATGAGGGTAGTGGGGCAACATCAAGGAAATGGGATGGAGATGGCCTGTCTCTTATAACTCCAGCTTACATTCATTGTGTACCTCCTTGTGACCCCAGCTTCTCTTAGGAGGCAGGGAAATTTTGGCTTCCTTTCCTTCAGTGAGAAAAGCCCAGTTTCCCCAGACTGATCCTTCCTGGTCCACAAAGAATGATACAATAAAGTAAAAGAGAAGACATCGTCCCCATTCCAGTGAAGAGTCTCATCCAGGACACGGCAGAACAGTTCATGTCTATTAGTAGTTTGCATTTCATTCATTTGTGAATTGTTCCTGTCCTTTACCAATTTTTTTAGGAGCCCAGAATTTCATTTATTTTTTTTCAATTGAAGCATACTTGATTTACGTTTCAGGTGTATGTACACACACACACACACACACACACACACACACATTCTTTTTCAGAGTCTTTTCCATTATAGGTTATTCCAAGATATTAAGTACAGTTCCCTGTGCTACACAGTAGGTCCTTGTAGTTTATCTATTTTACATAGAGTAGTATGTATCTGTTAATCCCAAATTCATCCCTCCCCCGCTTTCCCCCTTGGTGACCATAAATTTGTTTTCTACGTCTGTGAGTCTTTTGTAAATAAGTTCACTGTATCATGTTTTTAGATTCCACCTATAAGTGATATCCTATGATACTTGTCTTTGTCTGCCTGACTTCACCTAGTATGATACTCTCCAGGTCCATGTACCAATTTTTCTGTAGGGGTGGAATTTCCTATTGATTTAAAAAGTTTTTTACAAGAAGAGTAACTTGCTGCAAATTTGAACGGTTGTATTTTTGTGTGTGGTCATTCAAGACTGTGTGTTTGGTCACATAAATGTTGTCAAATCTATAAATTTTTCCTTTATGGTTTCTGCTTTCTGAGCCATGTTTAAAAGAGCTCTACAGGGACTTCCCTGGTGGTCCAGTGGTTAAGACTCCACACTCCCAACGGAGGGGGCACGGGTTCGATCCCTGGTGGGGGAACTAAGATCCCGCATGCCGCACAGCGTGGCCAAAACAAAAACAAAAACAAAAGAGCTCTACAGGCAGCTATTAGTACTACCCCCGCCCCCATACCCCCATCTCTTGAAAATGACAATTCACTCAATCAATGATAATCGAGAATCCATCTCCCCCTTTCCTTCTGACACTATGACCAGAATCCATGCCGGAATCTTTCTTCACTGAGTGTGTATTCTCTAATGAAAAAAAATTTTTTTAACACTAATGAATAGTGTAAGAAAAATCCATAGATAAATTCACAATACTTACTTTTAAAAGCTCTGGGCAACTTTAAATAGCTTTTTAAAATCAATAAAGGGCATTCTTCTCTTAGTTCAATTACTACACTTTTCTTAAAAAACTTTAGCTGGCATTGTCAGGGAAACGCTCCATCTACAAATTCCCAAACTTGATATTCCACAATTTCATTATCAGGATTCCCATTGCTTAACCCTTCTCAGTTCATTTAATCCACTAGACTCCTTATAACCTGTAACCCCTTACCTAGGTTGGATTCGATATTGCTCTCATTAACATTCTAGACTCTACAATCACACTGACTCTTACAAATATTAAATAGCTGACATTTTCCAAATGCTAATTATGTGCCAGGTCCTAGGCTAAGTCCTTTATGTATCCTGTACTTCACTGACTGCAAGATGTACCCTCTCCTAACCAGGAAATTTACAGTCAGTGGTATGTTGTGCCTAAATGATGGTTTTTTCCTCAGTAGTACATGAAATAACACCTATGATTAGCAGCATCTTAGATGAAATATGGAAGGATAACTCATCTCAGCTTTCTATCCATCCTGAGGCTGATACCATTATCTCTATTTTTCAGATGAGGAAAGTGAGGTTCAAAAAGTTAATTGGTCAAAAAAAAAAAGTTAATGGTCACAACATTGTAAATCAACGATAGTTCAATTTTAAAAAATTAGAAAAAAAAAAGTTAATGGCAGCTTTCCCAAAGTTATAAAAAAGCAAGTCAGTGTTGGGGGCTGGGACTTAAACCCAGGCAACCTGACTCTAGAACCTCATTTCTTAGCCTGTTTTCTATCCGTCAGCCAGAATCATCTCTGCCAACATTCCTCTCCAATCTTACTTTCAGGCACCAAGTTACACTAAAAAGCAGCAATTACTAGTCTACTCTACAGCCGCGTCAAACCTCAGCCCAGGCTTCCTCCAACTGCTCAGCCTCTGAATTCGCCATAGACTTCCTGGCACGTCACCTACAGTGGTTCTTCCAAACCTTCTCCATTATTCTTAAACTTCCAGCACCATTTTCTGATTCTCCCGGCTCACCATCCCAATGAAGGGACGGACTTGCCTCCGACACTACTGGGAAAACCAGCGCAAGCTGACATGAGCTCTGTGCCATCCGCTTTCCTCTCTGAGGACCCCATTCTGTTTCCTTCTCAGACAATCTCCCTCCTTACCATGACTAATATTTTGTCACCTGCGCTCCAGATCACTAACTCCATCATCTCATCTCTGATTGCTTTCTGTCCATTAACTTCTTTCCCTCAACCTTCAAATAAGAAGTCGTCTCATCAATTTTGAAACATAAGTCACTCGAGGGCATAGAAGACTCTGTTTCTTATTTCTTAATATACTCAGTCTCTTCACCTCAGCTGCATTCACTTGATTACCCTGACCTTCTCTCCTTCACCCTGAACCATACAACATGTCCCCCTTTGAACCTTCCTCTGGAATCTCTCTTCCCTTGGCTTCCTGGTTTAACTTCTCCTCTGACCCCACACCTTTCTTTCAGTTCCTTCTTTTGTCTACTTCAAACATGCCTCTCCTTTCTACCACTTCCTAATTGTGGGCATCAATGGAAGATTCAACCCACCAGCTCTCTGTTTCTCTGTACATGATCCTCTCCAAATACCCATCCATTCCCGGACGTTCCACCATCATTCCCAACAGATCACTACTTGGCATCTATGTACAGCTCCGAGCCCTCCCCTAGGCTTTAGCTTAGTTATGTATCTCCAACTTGCCTGTAGAATACTTAGATACCCCACCTTAAATTCAACCTGTCAATTCTAATTTATCATTCACGCAATTTTTATTCCTTCCAGAACCAGTTCTTCTCTATTCTTAAGTAAAGGCTTTATTAATTTTCCAGCCACTCAGGTTGGAAACTTAAGGATAATCTGACACCCCTCTTTCCCATTACTCTATAGCCAAATAACCACCAGGTGTCTTTTCACTCACAAAACCCACCCCATCAGAGAGAGAGAACTCAAAGCGCTTTCTTATCAATCTCCTGGCATATGGACTCTACACTCTCCAACCCAAACTGCAAGTTCAAACACCTTCTGTGACTTCCCAGTGCTTCCTCATTCTGGCACGCTGAGGTCCTCAAACCCTCATCCTCAACTTAACCTTTCCAAACACCTCTCCCAGCTCACCACACGGGACCACATCAGGAATACCCTCTGTGGTCAGTCAGAGCTGCAGACTGGCCTCCAGATCTGTGCTGTCCAACGTGATAGCTCATTGTTAAACAGGTGGCTATTTAAACATAAATTAATGAAAATTTAAAATGCAGTCCTCAGTTGCACTAGCCACATTTTAAATGCACAACAGCCACTCGCGGCTTGTGGCTATAGTGCTGGACAGCACAGATACAGCGCATTTCCATCACTGCAGAGAGTTCTATCGGACAGCGCTGCTCCTGTTACCTTGAGTCTTCCACGCCACTACTCTGCCCAAATGTCTCTTCCTTCTCCCAGTGCAAACCCACACATCCTTCCACATCACAGTGGGCCTCATGTGAACTGTCTGCACAACTTACCCCTATATTACCCTGCAACAACTCTTGTGATGTTGCATTTAATTTTTCATTTTTGTGGGTCTCCTCACTAATTACTGAGCCACTCTGAACTAACAGATTCACTAAGTGAAGCATATGCTCATTACCACACTGCATCAAAATTATCACATAAGGAGATATTTAATACCCCTCTCCTCCATTAAAAAGACATGTTTTCCTTCAATCTAAACAAAAGATCTTGCATTTAGCTAACTAATGACTTAATTTAATGCCTAATTATAATACTTGAAAGATAATGAGTTCCCTTTTCTTCTTGTGGTATTCGAAACTGAAAGAAAAAAAACTATAAAGGTCTGAAATACTTCCACTTTGCATAAGCACACCGCAAAGAAACCACAAAAGATAGACACGGAGAGGAAAATGAATGAATAGTTTGAGTAACTATACCCTAACTATCTGGAATTGTAGGAAAAAATATAGTACAGCTGCCCTAAAATTAAGGGGAAACTACAAATAAAGCATTAAAAAATTACACGTATAAATATATTTTTGAATCAAAAGCTAGACCCCTCTATCCTCTTTCACAAACATGACATAGTGAATATTTATTTTCACCATGAGCTCAAAAGCATATAGATGCATAAGTAACTGCTGTGTATGTTGTATGTGTTCCTTGAAATCCAGGCTTGTCTCAAGAAAATTAGTTAAGAAATCAATCCACCAACCATAGACCTGGGTTCTATATAACGCTCCTATGTGAACACTAGGAACCAAGCAGAGAGATTTGGGAGAATTGCCAGGTATGGATTCCCTCAAACCTTAGAGAGTTTGATGCTTTATCTTCAAGAGGGAATGTTCTCTAAAGTTCTGATTTTAGCTTATTAAAAAATCACAGG